GGGGGGGGGATTCTTTTCTATACTGTATTTTGGAGTGTAGTGATCTCCATTGAGATATTCTGCTCAACTAAAAGCATCATACAGCCAGTCTGTGTTTTTCATGAGGCTGCTTGTGCTATTTGCTTCTACTAAATCTCAGTGACAATCTGTAATAAATCCAAACATAATCCAAACTTGTTTGTGATTAATTTAGTATGAATTAGTATTTATACATAGAAAAAACGTGAACATAATTTTAAAAATTGTTGAAGTTATTTTTAGGAATTTTACTATTTTAGCTTTTGAGAGACGTTTCTTAAGGTTTTGCCAATTTTCATAATGTAGAGAGTGTGTTAACGTATATGGTAAATGTAATGAATCAGGAAAGATGAGGTAAAATAAACCCTGCATATGAATTGATGTTCTATTAATATGTGTTTATGTGAGAGTACAATAATTCTGATGAAATGTGAAACAACATTTTTCAGCTGAGAACAATCATGATTATAATTTTTAAACAAAATAAAATTATTATCAGTTATCATGCAGCCCTAACTCATAACAAGTTATTCATTTTGCCTTAAAAATTAATGTTTAGTTACTGAGTTTTGCCTTTGTCGGGTAATATAAAGTGGTAACTGCATTGTTACTTTAAAGAGATATTTCTATATGATTTAACCCATATAAAGTAGTTTTGGTGGTATAAATTAATGTATTTAGGTTGATTCTGTGATGTTGAACCAAGTAAAAGCAGTTAATTTTGATGTTACCATTTTTATGTTACCTGTTTTTTAGTGTAGTATCTATTCTTTGGCACTGACAGTTGGGGTTGTAATGGCAGATACAGAGCTAATGTGACTTCATTCCTGATAACTAGGACAAGCAAATACTGGACAGAAGCTTATAATGTCAGTGATTGCCAAGGGAATAAGCTCATGCTTCATTCAGTATGTGCGGAGGGTCTTCTTGGGCACTATACATTAGAGTTGGAAGACAGTTTTATGAATGTAATCAAGATGATCAAATGAGACTGTAAAATTTTATACAGGCTATATAGTATCTTGTTTGGGGTTTGGCACTTTAAACATCTACCACCTTTGTTGCAGAAGGCAAAGATACTTTGTGATATGCTCCCCTTAAGTTAAATGAACTCTCTATTAATTTATAGCATTAGTTTTCTTCTCAAGTGTAAATCTAGCTAGTATGAGACTATTCTTATACACAGCTTATCAAGTGAGAAAATTCCCTGTTCCTGTAAGGTAAAGGTCCAATTCTGGGTCATTAAACAACCACATGTATTGATTAGGCCTGTCAAAATTATGCATGCGATTAAATGTATAACACAGTTCATTTTTCTTAACGCTTTTAAGGCATTTATTCAATATGACATCGGCCAAAATAATTGACAGGCTGAGATTAATAAAATCCTCCTTTGTACATTGTATTTATATATGCACATCAATTTTCTCTAGAAGTGTAATTCACATAAAATTGCTGAAACCAACTGCAAAACATATTTTCCTGAAAAATGTAACTGAATCCACTAACATGTTAATTACAAAAAAAGTTTAAATTTTAAATTAAAAACTTTAATTTAAGTTAAAACTAAAAACATTAATAAACATTTTAAGGACTTAAAAATAAAATAAACATTTTGTTGTATTATAACTGAAATGAAATAAAATATTGAAAACATATTTTATTTCAGCTAGTTGCCAACATTTATCATTTTTTATTAGGTTATTAAAAACTACACAGACATTTAACTAAAGAACTCTAACAAATAAAAAAAGTAACGTCTAATGTAAAATATTAACAAAAACTATATTACTATATTAAAATGTCAGTGATACTAAATAACACTTTCACAAATTGGTTTCCATCTAGAAGTTATGCAGTTTTTAAAACAGTCCTCCATTACGACTGTCATCAGGCTTCTACAACTCTATTTTGGATTAATTACTGTGTTCATAATGTCAATTTCTATTCTGTAGGTGACTGGGACTGTCATCCTCTGGACCCAACTGTGTGGCATGTAAGTATTTCAATCATATATTGCAGTCACGTATCAGTGCCGGCAATGGATAATAGCAGAAACAGAAGTTGTTTGATTACAGCGTTTCTGTAGCTGAACTCACTGAATTGTATGTTCACATATACATGTCATGTCAGCAATGTGTGTTCAGCATTAATGGGACTAAAAAAGCATTGTTCGCTTCCTCACAGCATCCAGTGAGCTGGCAGCCATCCAAAGAGGGAGATCATTTGATTGGCCGGATCACTCTAAGTAAGCGCTCCACCATGCCACGAGAAGCCGGATCCCTGCTGGGTCTGAAGGTGAGCTTGTCAATGGCAGTTTACACTAGCTAATCACATCTTTGTCCGTGTCTTGCACTTGAAGGGATGTACTACACTAAAGGTGTGGTCCCATTTACTGTATTGAAATTTCACAGGCGAACGCAGGACCAGATGTGACAAAATATAGTTAATAATATGGGAATAATGATGATTAAATAAACATCCAAAGCTATTCTGCCAGCTAGCAAACAAACCAGCCCTAAATAACAGCTTTTTTCTTTATAATTGAGGTGTAATATTATGCAGAACCGGCTGAGTAGCCAGAATGAGGACCTTGTCCATTGTGGAGCTTCAGTTTTGCTTTATTGCTAAGTTATGAACCTCCACCCACACAGAAGTCACTGCTGAAGAGAGGCTTGCTTTCAGTCTGTTCTGCAAATTTGGGTCAAAGTTCAAAAATTTGAACCCAAAGTGAAATTGGCATAGGGGAATTTCTTTGCCTCCAGAAGTCCATCAGGCGAAATTCTTCATTGCACTGATTCCCATTAAAATGACTGGATTTCATTTGCTAAATTTTGCAATGCTAAAAGTGACTGCACCTTAAAAGGTCCGCTAGATGCCTTTTTCTTGTCATTATTTGGTCTTGTTATGATATATAAAGGTAATAATGACAAGGGTTGTTATAGTTCTATTATGACAACTCTTGGAAGATTTTAGCATGGGAATTATTATGCAATGTTAATGTATTTGGTCTTGGCAGAATAGATCTGCTACGCTGCTGCTGCTGAATTGCTGCTGTTGGTTATTGATGTTGTTGTAGATTATTGCTGCTGCTGCAAAGCAAGTACAGTAACTTGCTACTGCCAATATATACGCCGATACGGTGCTGTGAGTATTTAAAACAAACTGCTGCTGCGCAAATAGCATATATAATAACCTGTAGCAGATCTATACAGGTGGAGCTGGGGAAGGTGGAGGGTTTCAGAGTAACTCTGAAAGCACACTGTGAAATGCTCTAGTGAGTGCTAACCAGCCATTTAAATGTAAAGCAGTAAGCTCATTGGCTGTGCATGCAACATGAACCAATCAGCTTGTGCCAAGTAGTTTAACACTGTGAATAATATCATCAATTTGCATTAACGACGCATCAGCCTGCGCCATTTAGAGTTTCATGACAGAACTTGGCATTTACTACAACTAAAACCATAAAACAAATGTGTTTTGCTTTAGTCAGTAATCAGACATACTCGTAATAATCAGACATACTTTTTGTTTGTTTTGTCATCCTAGTAAATTATGGATGCTTCTTTATCCTACTGCATTTATGCATTTGACAGACATTTTATCCAAAGTGACTTGCAGTGCTTTCAAATTATATATTTTAGTGTTGCTAGCACCATGCTCTACAAAATGTCTCTGTAAAGAAGCTGAAGAACAGTACTTAGTTTGTGAGTAAACATGGTTCACCGTGTCATCGTGTTCGTTCACTTAGGCCAGGGGAGAACTGGTCTCCATCCTTTCACCTGATGGAGTTTGGGTTCGTTGCTACTGTCATCTTCTGGCTTGCTTAGACAGCACTGACGCTATTGGATGAGAACAAAACTTGAAATGACTCGAGCTGAATAACGACACTGCTGTTCTCAGTAGAGCTTCTTATTGCTGAATTGAACTGGTTTAATTAGTGAACTGATCTGAATCAAAACTGTACTAAACAATGACACTTTTGTCTTGCTAGAGCTGCTTTATGGCAGAATTTTGGATTTGCATCACTGATTCTGTTACTTTCCTGTTTAATACCATAAAGCTGTTTTGAAACAATCTCTATTGTATAGAGTGCTATAAAAATAAAGGTGACTTTACTTGACTTGACTCGTCTGTCCTGTCCAGGTGGTTGGTGGAAAAATGACAGAGTCAGGGAGACTGGGGGCCTTTATCACCAAAGTAAAGAAAGGAAGTTTGGCTGACATTGTGCATCACTGATTCTGTTACTTTCCTGTTTAATACCATAAAGATGTTTTGAAACAATCTCTATTGTATAAAGTGCTATAAAAATAAAGGTGACTTTACTTGACTTGACTCGTCTGTCCTGTCCAGGTGGTTGGTGGAAAAATGACAGAGTCAGGGAGACTGGGGGCCTTTATCACCAAAGTAAAGAAAGGAAGTTTGGCTGACATTGTAGGCCATTTACGAGCAGGTAATAATTATAAAATTTTGACTGGCAAATTTTGTAAGAAAGTTGCAGTATTTTAAAATTTTATTTTGACCTTAGCTTTATGGATGTCTTCTGCTAGATCTCCGTTGATATTTTTGGTTGCATATCTACGTGTAATTTTTCACAGCTCATTATTCAGTCAGTCTGTCTATGCAGGACGCTGCCAAGTGCTAAATGGTTTCTTTTTTTGATTTCAGGCGATGAGGTGTTACAGTGGAATGGAAAGGCGTTGCCTGGAGCAACTAAAAAGGAAGTGTACAATATTATTCTAGAGTCCCAGTCAGCACCTCAAGTGGAAATAGTTGTTTCCAGACCAATTGGGTAAGCTAAACAAACCACAAAAAATGAGCAGCTAGTTTAGAAATTAAACAAAGAAAACAAACCTTCGGATGTATGAGTGACTACAGTGATTTTTCTTCCTGTTGCATGTTAAAGATGTATTCAGCGAATTCTGTCCAAAAACTTCTTGAAAAAGGTCTATAGAGCATATCAGTAAGTAAAGTAGTATCTGAGAGTGTTCTTCTTCCTAGTGTCCCCATTGTCACCCTACATGCTCCAGACCCTCCTCTCACCCTTAAAACTGTTCAGCCATTGCATTAGAGCGGTCCTTCGGTTCCCTATTCTTTCCTGTGTCTGGACAGTTTTGCTATGACGTCTCAAGAGGGAATGTGCAGTCAAGTCTGTGTGTATGTATGTGGAAAAACTAACCGAGAGAGAAGCCAATGATCTGTCAACTGACATTCTTTTCTCCTGTGCTTCAATTTTCTGTTTCCTGCAGAGAAACTCCAAGACTTCCGGGAACATCACATCCTCCTCTAGAATCAAGTAGGTTTTGTGACTTTAGTTTCAAAAGATAGTTCACCATAAAGTGAAAATTCTGTCATCATTTACTCACACTCGTGTCATTTCAAACCTGTATCACTTTGTTTGTTACGTGGAGCACAAAAGGAGATATTTAGCGGAATGTCCAAGCTGCTTTTTTTCATGTGGTTAAAATGCATCAAAACAAGAGTCGCTATTGACTTTCATTGTTTGACACAAGGGCAGTGTTAATCACCTCAACAAAATTATTTTCAAAAACATTCATTAAAGGTATAGTTCACCAAAAAATTAAAATGTTGTCATCATTTACTCACCCTTGTGTCATTCCAACCCTGTATGTTGAACACAAAAGAAGATATTTTAAAGAACCGAACAGTTGTTGGTTCCCATTGAAAGGGAAAGAAATACTATGGAAGTCAATGGGACCATCAATTGTTTGATTACCAGCATTCTTCAAAATATATTATTTTATGTTCTACATAAGACAGAAAAATTATACAGGTTTGGAACAACATGAGGGTGAGTAAATGATGACAAAATTCTCTTTATCGAATATGACATGACAAACACTACGATAAAAAATCTCAATTAAGTACATTTCACCATTAAGTGTGCAATACATCACAGCTGTATACCTATTATGTCAACTTTTTGAACTTACAGCTGGTTCGAGTTCTATAGATGAATCCCAAAAGATGGACCGTCCATCCATCTCTGTAATGTCACCGACTAGTCCTGGGATGTTGAGAGACCTCCCTCTGGTACTGCCAGGCCAGCTGTCGGTAAGCATGGAGAGGGGGAAAACACTTTGCAGAAAAAATATTTAGACCTATTTTCTCACCTGAAAAGGAATGTGGTGTGTGACACAGGGTTGACATATTTTATCTGTTAGCTGAGTTATAAAAAAAAGTTTTGCCAACACTTTAAAAACTTGGAGAAAGTGATATGTTTGTTTGTTATTATTATAATTTTTATTATTATTATTATTATTTTTACCAAGGTGAAATTATGGTATGATAAAGTGGGCCATCAGCTTATTGTCAATGTCCTACAAGCACGAGAACTGCCCCCTCGACCAGACGGACGACCCAGAAATCCCTACGTCAAAATGTATTTTCTTCCTGATAGAAGGTAAAATATTTAAAATGTATTAATAATAGTAATAGTATTCAACAATATTATTGTTTTACTGTATTTTTGCTCAGAAGAGAAGAGACTTTAAAAGCACTAAAACTGTAAGACTAGACTGTAAACTTTTGAATGGCAGTGTAGATTGGTGGCCTCAAAAATGTTTCTTTTTATAACTATTTTTTTTTCTGTCTTTGATGATATATTCGTCCATGCACTAGCTCTCTACTGTAAGATCTGACTTGCATTTTCCATTTTGGGTATTGCTGAGTATCTGAAATGCATTCCATGCCAAAAGATTCAATGATAAGCAGGCGGAAATGGAATCTGCAGACTATTTGTGCTGATTTTTGGGATACATTTGCAAAATTGTGCAGACTGCACACACTCTTATAAGCATACTACATTCGTCTACATAGTGACAAGAGCAAGAGACGGACGAAAACGGTGAAGAAGAGTGCAGAGCCAAAGTGGAACCAGACGTTCCTGTATTCTCACGTTCACCACAGAGACTTCAGAGAGCGCATGCTGGAGATCACTGTTTGGGACCAGCCCAGAGTCCAGGAGGAAGAGAGTGAATTTCTGGGAGAGGTGCGTGTGCTTAAACTACAGTAGTATGTCCTGACAGTAAGATATCAAGGTATCTATATCTAGCTTCAAAACAACACATAATTGTCAGACTCTGTTCCATGTTTTGTGTGTGTCTTGCTCCCCATGTGCCTTCCCATGCCCATATTTGGTTTGTTTCCTGTTCCTGTCCTGATTTAGTTGATTTCTTCCCAGGTGTTTCTCATGTTTAATTTCCATTGATCCCAGGTGTGTCTCGTCAGCCCCTCCTCCTGTGTGTATAAAAAGTGTTCCCAGTCCCTAGTTCTCTGTCCGCTGTTGAAGGTCTTCGTGTGAACGTCTTCCTGTGTTCGTCTCCCTTGGTGCAAATAAAGTCTTGGTAAAGCATTCTCCAGCGTCTCCTCGTCCCTCGCGTGTGTGTCACCGTGACAATAATATGTACTTGTGTTCCATTTTCTTGACTCCACTGGTATGCATAAGAATAGTTTTTCAAACCACCTGAAGTTTTTTTTTAAAAAATAAATCCCAATCGGTGGGAGCATAGTAATATGCTCTTTGAAATCCATTTTGTTTATATGCTAATTTATACATGCCCCTAGTGTGCAGTTGCTCTGAAGCAGTCAATTGATGTTTCTCAGGTGTAAAGTGTATCTGGTAGTGCTTTGGGTTATTTTGGCCTCCAAACAGTTATTCTTTCATGGTTCAAATTCCCCTTTTCTGGCTTTCGTTTTGACCAGATTCTGATCGAGCTGGAAACAGCTCTATTGGATGACCAGCCACACTGGTACAAATTGCAGACCCATGATGTGTCATCCCTACCATTGCCCCAGCCGTCCCCCTGCCTCCTTCGCAGACATGTTCATGGAGACAGTCCAAGTAAAAAGCTGCAAAGTAAGTATAAGCTGGTGTATGTGTGCTAACAGTGTGTGTGTGTGTGTCACTGTAAAAAGTGAGGTGTTCATAAAAAGAAATGAAGGCAACAGTTTGCATTGCTTTTTTTTTTTTTTTTAAGTAAATGACTTACAATATCTTAAAATTTGGGTTTAGATTAATTTAAATCATTATGGACACAATTACCCGTTCAGGGAAATATGTTTTGATGTCCTCAGTTGAAAGTTAAAATTAAGTGATGCAAATTGTTTGCTTTATTTACATGGTTTTAAATTGGCCAATATTATGTGCTTCATTTAATGTTTTCTTTGAGAAATGTAAATGTTATGAAGAGCAAACCACTCGATATAGACAATCAACTGTTAATTTTTTTTTAAACTCTTAGTTTTTTTGTCTTTTGATGAAAAAATCATTTGAATTTATTTCATCGTGTTAAAATAAGTTTACTAATTTTAAATTTGCAAAAAAACAAATATGCAAAAGTTTATTTATTTATGGACACTTGAGCTCCTAAAATAACATTATAATCACTATGATGTAGGGCTGGGCGATATAGCTAAAAAATGTATCAACGATATAATGTTTCATATCGTTCGGTATCGATAATTATTGACATTTTTTATAACCTTTTTTAAAACAAAGAGCAATAGAAAAAAACGTTTAAATTTAACCACTGTATTTTTAAATTAACCCAATTTATTGAGACAAACAACAAATATTTTTTTGTTTTAACAGTCAAACACAAAATAAAAATTAAACAAATATCTAATTTCTAATGTTTTATATGCAGATTAAATAGGTCTGAAGGAAACTTTTGGCTTGTCTCCCGAGGCCACAGGAGGGTGCAATGAGCAAAATAATGCAGCACATTAAATTGCCAACGCAAAGGAAATAACTGTCTATAAAAAAACGTGCATTACGTCTAAATTAACTCATATAAATCAAACATAATTTTGTAAATTGCATAAACAATTATGAACAAAACAGCATCATCTATTTATGCATTGCTTAATACAAAGAGCCGAATCGCCCATAACGCAGATAGCATTTAAAAACATAAGAGACACAGTGAAAAGGAATAAATCTCCACAAATTTGTGACGTGTTTTCTTAAAGTTTAAACTGTTTTAACTTTGCATGGCTGTCTATACATCTCTAGACGCGAGTACTATGATGCAATGCTGTGAATACTTTATGCTTCCGTTATTCATTTTCCATGTTGTAGTTTTATTGGATTATACAGATAAGTGTTTGGGTGAGTAATTTAAGTGCTTCAGTTTACTGATGTTTATTGTTCAGTGCATGATTATTATTATTAACTGATTGCATTATTTGAAAAAAATCATAATTTCTATATTTTTCTTCATCGAAAAATACTGTACATCTTGCCTTATATTAGTTAAAATTGATCTAAATTAAATATATATATATA